CAGCGCATACCATGGATGTAAATGTATCTGCCAGCCCGCTGTTACACGCGACAATCCATTGTCCCATTACTGCTCCCTGCCTGTGCCAGTGTCAATAACACAAAATAAGCTCGACTGTCAACATTTCAAAACTAATGAAAACCATGTCAGTCTCAGCGAAACGGTGAAGCTCAAATACGCTAAGTGAACACGTATAAGGCAGCTGTCAGATGTGAGAAAACTAATCACCATACTTGCAGCTCAGTTTTGGCGCTAACGGTCAGTCATGAAAACCCGCATTGCACCCACAGAAGGACATGTAATTTCTGACGTAATCTGACATTCACCATTTTAGTGCATTCCAACAACACAATGCAAGTACAACAATTAACAAACAGAATCCCATTCCATACTGAATGCACAGCTCACAGTGTCGCACCAAACACTCGGCTCAGTAGCTGGGTTCCGGACCCCTTGGACTTCCGGTCCAGAAATTTTTAATTTTTTTTAATCGGCAAAATCTAGCAGGAAAAAAAACACCCTTTTCAGAGCCTATCAGCCACATTGGCCGGAAGATATGGATTATGTGTCTCAGTAACATTATTTTAAAAACGTACAGTAGGAAGGCAAGAGAGAAGGAGTTAGACAGCGATACAAGTGAGCCGATATCATCCAGTAATGGGCTATTGTCAGAGAGTGGATAACCAGGCTAAGAAGCAGAGTGGTGAAGATCTGTTGCAGCCGACCTTCATTATGAAGATGGCACTTCCTAGAGCTGTTGATGTGGTGTAATTTTTTTCTCTTCCCCAAACAGCTTGCCGTCTGCAAAGTTATCTCAGAAAATATGTTTACTAACAGCAACATACATGATAAGTGCCAAACTATTCCTTTACGTATTAATACACGGTGAGCTAGTATTACATAAACTGCACACTAAATGTCAATCTGAAGAAAAGCTACGTTAGAAAATGTACGCTTTCAAAAACAAATTGTCCAAGTTTAAGCCAGCGCACTGCCATAAAGTTGCCCCCAGACCTTGCTGTCATTGCTGAAGATGATGGACGCTGTAGAGTTACACCCTGCCCCTCTCATATGCATTTACTAATTTCTGTGGTTTGCAGGGGCCAATATCAGCCCTTAGATTTGATGATGATGTATGTGACGCTAGCGATCAGGCTCGGAGAATGCTTGTCCAAAAATCTGAATTAACGAGTAGCTTCATTGAGATGCTGCTAAAGGCTTCAAGCGGCGATTGGAAGCCTGATGTAGTGATACGGCGGAAAATACCGCATCCATGCATCTTCGCCGAGTTTCCGGCGTCTCAGACGGGTTTTCTGGTGGGCGCGCGCCGCCTGAATACGAAAAGCGCTGTCGCCAACATAAAATACTTGGTTTATTTGCGATTTGGACAAGTGCTAGTCGAAGATTCTCGCTTGAAAGCCCGGGGTTATCTCAGCCTATATCGCCAATGTTGCTCTGGCGGGATACACCACGCAGGAATGATTGATCCACGGGCACGCTTTCTTAGATGAGTAACTAGCAGGGGTTCGGACTGGCGCTGTCTGCTAACGGAGAAACAGGAAGCAACTTTTTACCATAGCTAGGAAGGGGCAGATGTGCAGTGTCGTCATTCGTTGAGTGAGATTGCTAGCAATAATGCATTACAAAAAGCTACACAAACGCGTCTCGCGAACACACTTAAACACACAGACACAAACTGGTACCCACACATATGCAGACACAGACAGAAGTATATGTTTCTATATATTTATCATCATTATCATGATTAATCACTGCTTTGCCGACTGACGTGAGCAATGATGGTTCTCTGCATCTTGTGATCTTTGACAGTTTGCATCGCTTAGTCTACTGACACTATTCCATATTCCAAACAAAAAAATTGATGTGTTTCTGCTCTTGTTGTCCTTTCCTGTCTCTCCTTCTAAACATGCTGTGAGCTGCCAGATTTCCCGTGTGTACCTTCACTCTCCCGACTGGGTTTAAAAAACGTTTGTGTGCGTTTGTGTGTGTGTCTGTGTCTGTGTGTGCGCTTGGGCCTTTGCATGCTCGAATGTTGTGTGTGTGTGTATGTTTATATATGTGCCCAAATTACACAAAGATTGAGACATCAACAAGTAATAGAAAGAGACGTTTTATAGAGAATGAGACAAAGATAACTCATCTCAAATATCATGAATAGTTATCAGTTTTTGTTCCATTGTGAGAAAAAAAATTATGAAATTTGTGATCACTATATATATATATATATATATATATATATATATATATATATATATATATATATGTGTATATATATATATATGTATATATATATATACACATATATATGTATATATATATACACACACATATACACAATTATCCCACATTTCAGACTTATATATATATATATATATATATATATTATTTAGAGGCGAGGAGGGGGGCAACGTGGGAAGGTCATTTTTAGGGCCTGTTGTCACAGCCGGGCAGGATAGCAGAGTGACGGGACACGTGTTGTGGGACACCGTAAGATGTGGAGCCCGATTACCAGGTGCCAAAGAATTTGACGATGACAGATGGACATATATGCAGACATAAATATAGACCAGTAAAAAAGCAGATAGACAGACAGACACAAGACATATCTTTTACTGGGAACTGATAGCAAGTAATATAATGATAAGACTGTACTCAGGCTGAATGTGTTAATGAAGAAACTAGACACCGTACAAAATACCAGGTATACGGACGGACACTCCAGACTAGGCAACCGGTGTAAGAAAACTATGCAATGTGGAGTTACCGAAAAATGAAAGAGCTGATAAACTGGTTAAAGAAAATACAAATGAAGAACAACCTGGCAGACACGATAGAGAGAATAATCAAATCAATCAGAACGCCACCATAACATGCACAAGAGGATTACCATGTCGTGGACAGACCAGAGTAAGTAATTATGCTACGCCTTAGAACAGGGTACAGTTGACTTCGCAACCACATGTACACAAAAAGTTCAGACTGGTGAATTAACCATGTGTACATGTGTATTGGGACCTGAGACAACAAATCACGTCCTCCAAGGCTGTGCTAGATACTATATATCAAGATAAAACGTTTGGCAAGCAAAGCTTTACGGGTCGTTGAGTGAATTACATACTACAGTAGAAGTGAATGCTAGAGACAACATTGCAGACAGAGATACTCCATTTCAAGCGAACGAAAGAAGACAAGGAAACATAATAAACTAGTAGGCAGAAACTTGAATATTCATCTCCGATCTGTGGCGAATCTCCGCCGTCTGTTTGCTTATTCAAGTTGATAATGCAGTTCAGAGTTCACGTACACACACAAAATACAAGTGACCATTGCACTTGAGCTAGGCGCCTGTGTGTGAGGTCAGGGGACGCAACTGTTTATACAAGGATTCCGATACTCAGCCGGTACTGGAGAAGCAGTTACAATGTTTATGTTGGCACCGTGACTGCGAACTGGTGGGGGGGGGGGGGGGGGGGGGGGGGGGGTATATATAACAGCGGAAAAGCTCAGTCAACAAATTTGTGTTTAGGGGTGGGAGTCCAAACAAGAAATGAGACATAAGGAATATAACACCGGAACAATCAAGGACATCCATAAATAGGTCGTAAGGTGCCCCACTCTGGCGCCAGGGGCCACAATATAGGCAGGAGTAAAAATGGCCAATTGAAATTTTCCACGGTGAACACATCCACATGGTGGCAATGGAATCACGGGTGTTTAATATATTTGTCTTTTAATCAAGGTTACTCTTATCCATATCAAAAATCTACTCATCCCCTTGTTGGATGCAATTTTTCGTTATTTTGAAGCCCCACTCTGGCCTTTGTCAGGGCCTCAATATAACCCGGCCATAAACTTGGCCTAATGTTTAAACGCGGTTTCCGGGACCTCTCCACGGGTGATCCTCATCCACATGGTGTCACTTTGTGTCAACGGTTGTTTATCCTTGTGTGATGTCCTAGTGTGGTAAAATAGACTACTACTACTTCTACTGCGCCTATAAATGCAAGCAGGAAAAGCAAATCGATCGCGTAGTGTATGTACCGCCTGGTGAATGGTCATGCCTTGTTTCCTAGACATCATGTTTCCACTGTCTGACTAGTCGACTCCTGCCTCTTCTTTCCCGGAATCAGAACCTCTCCCTCCACCAAAAATAAAAAAAAAAAAAAGCATTGTGGCCTTTTGTATGGCCCCAGTATTATAGTTTCCAAGAAACGAGCTGTCTGTCAACCAGTTCCAGCTGATGTTCCAGTTTTGAATCATGTCAGTTTTCTCCCATCTTAATCCATAATATAATCTTTTCTTGTCAACCGAGAGCTACATAAATCCTATTCTAATATACGGAAGCAAATCATGGACAATTGGAAGGTTAGGGAAAATTTTTTGAAAGCAGCGGATATGTGGTTTTATAAATGACCGAAAAGAGCCCATAGGACAGATAAAATGAGTAATGAAGATGTTCCGAAACTGACTCACGAAGAGAACTGATTGCCCACATCATTAGGAGACATTCTATATTTTTCTAAATCATGTTATGAGAAGGAGAAAACCGGACTACAACATAGCGGTGGAAAGCTGGAGGGAAAAAGCTTCAGAGGGAGACAGAGAGAGACAGAAGATGCTGGACAGTCTGACAACGTTACATAAAAGACTATCGGAAATGATTAAAAGTACACAAGACAGAAGGTCGTGGATAGTCATGACTACCAACACCCCAGGGCGTGGTGGACCTTGAGACGATGGTCCATGACATTCAATGAATATTCACCATAAGAGAACGCCAATAATGATTATACACACACACACACACACACACACACACACACACACACACACACACACACACACACACACAAGTGTGTGTGTCAACACGGTTACTAGGTAACGACTATTTTTCTTTTTCTGATAGGAGCTTTGGTAATGTTTATGTTTCTCCTTTTTTAAAGTGATGTGCTTAAAAATGATTGATCTTCTTCCTTTAGGTGATGTGGGTGAGCCCTCTGGAGACTGTGATCAGCCTACAAGATCGGCGTTTACTCAACGACATGCGCATTAGCGTGGAGAGACCGTTCATGAAAGACTGGAACCTTCACCTGAGAAATGTCAGCGTCACTGACGCCGGCGTCTACAAATGTCAGATCAATACAGATCCCGTGGGCACTAAGAAAATCAACTTGGTTGTCACAGGTGAGACGTCACAACTCCAAGCAAGTTCCTCTATACTTCTGCGTAGCTTATGATTACTTTCTACTGTAGTATATGTTTTCGTTGTCAATTTTAATCACGACTTAAATAGGCGTCTTGTGCGTGTATGTATTTTGATATTTACGATAAATGTCTAAAGTGAAGTATTGTATTTTTACATGTAACTCGTTATTAGGAGTGCCAGTCCATCAAAAGATAAAACATTATTGTTGCGTTGAAAAACTGCAATACCGTAGACAAAAAATGACGTGCATTTTGTCAAATCAAAACAATACCACTAAAGCAAAAGTCGGAATACTCTAAGACCAGATTTTAAAAAAAAAGTGTTATATTGTGGATATTAGAGAAATTATCCTTAAGCACAGAACACCACATAAAAGTTTATCTTGGCAACATTTGCGGGCTTGAGAAAGTTTCGTAAACATTATTTACCTAAAAGTGTTTACAGTCTTCTTTTTCTTCACTTTCTTCTTTTACCGCTCACTATGTCGAAGAGATACACTTGCTTTTCTGGTGTCCTCGACATACACACATCATACTTGTTCCATATTGCTTTGGTTCTATCTCCTGCTCTTTTTCCTTCTCCTCTATTTGTGTATGCCTTGTATCGTAAGGCGTCACAAGGCATTCTCTCTAAGTGTGCAATCCATTTGATTTGTTGTCTTTGTGTGTATTTTGGAATTGGATATGTGCTGATTTGTACTTTTATGACATATTCCTGATTTTATCTCGTATGGCCACACCTGCAGCCCTTCTCCGAGATTCCATTTCTATGGTTTCTAATTTTCTTTGCAGGTTTGTTGCGAGTGACTATTTCTGGCTCTGGTAGCACAGTAATGAATTGACCATACTTTATGTGAGATGCTTTTTGTGCTGATTGGGATTGTATTGTGGTGTAAAGAGAAAGGAGGCGTGGGGGTCGACTCAGCCTAAACCGTGTGCCATGAAATGCCTTGTGAAGTAAAGCTAGCCGTCGTGATATTGATCACATCACTAATCGAATGCCGAATGTTGGTGGAATGTTGATCACACCCCTAATCAAGTGCCGATTGGTGGCGTGATGTTGATCACATTTCTCATCAAGTGCCGGTTGGCAGCGTGAAGTTGATCACATTCCTCATCAAGTGCTTGTTGGCAGCTGATGTTGATCACATCCCTCATCAAGTGCCGGTTGGTGAGGTGATGTTAATCACATCACTAATCCGATTGCCGGTTGGTGGCGTGATGTTGATCACATCACTCATCAAGTGCCGGTTGGTAGCGTGATGTTAATCACATCACTCATCAAGTGCCGGTTGGTGGCGTGATGTTAATCACATCACTAATCGATTGCCGGTTGGTGGCGTGATGTTGATCACATCATTCATCAAGTGCCGGTTGGTGGCGTGATGTTAATCACATCACTAATCGATTGCCGGTTGGTGGCGTGATGTTGATCACATTTCATCAAGTGCCGGTTGGTGGCGTGATGTTAATCACATCACTAATCGATTGCCGGTTGGTGGCGTGATGTTGATCACATCACTCATCAAGTGCAGGTTGGTTTTTGAATAATATGAATCTAGCCTTAATTTACTAGATGCGCCCCTAGCGTGAAAGAAGATCCCTTTACTTTATTGGTTTTTTTTTTTACTGCCACGATTGTTCTTTTCACGCTAGCTGAACAACCTAAGGCAGGTTCCCATCCCGGATGTACACAAGTGTGGTGTGCATCACCGCGTCATCTAGCCCTGTGTATTCAGTTAACAATTTTAAATTTTCAATATCTTCAATTTTGTCAGACTAATTACACTGCTCTCCACATTCACAGTGTGATCACTGACCTGATAAAAACCGCTATGATGTATATTTGAGTGTGTGTGTGTGTGCGTATCTATCTGTTTGTGAGAAAGAGAGTATGTCTATGTCTATGTGTGTGCATGTATGTGTGTTTCCGTAGATCCGTTTCAACACCTGTATCTATGCTGGACTGAGGTCACACCTCAGAGGTATCCGCTGCTGCTACCATCCAGTAGCCGGTTGTTTTCTGTTGCAGAGCCTCCCAGAATCATTGATCACACTATGCCCACGGACATCGAAAAGCCGGAAGGAGAGATGGTGGAACTGTTCTGTAATGCTACAGGAACTCCACAACCAGAGATCTCCTGGTATCGTCTCCATAAGAAGGGCAATGGGGTGCGAGAACGTAAGTTATTGTTGACTAAGGTGTATTGAAGTTGATTTATGACACTGGCGATAGGATCTATGCGACTGTTTACTCTTATGACGGTTGTTGTTATGTTATAATGGTTGAGTTTTATTGCATATATTACATATATTGACCCCATACTACATGTCACATAATGCTGGTGTCACGTGTCTTTGTTAGGGTTTTCCCTACAGAATCAAAAGACACTCTCAAGTAGTTTAACTGTTGAGATGTTGGATCACAATGGTCTAGGCGGTATCCCACAGCTCCAAAGAACATCCAGCCTACTTCAGGGGTGAGGCGTCTCAAATTATGGCACTACAGAATAAATAAATGTTCCTAGGAGCAACTTTTACTGACTTCCCTACTACTTTTAAGCTCCCAGACTAAATAGTAATTCTATGCTAATCAAATTAACACAGTGTAACATGAATTACAACAATGCAACAAAAACTATCATTATTGACAAACCTAGACCTAGGTAACTGGCACTTGGTGTTAAGAGTGACTTCAATTACTGGCGACCATAACTTAACTGTCAAGGACGTTATGTTCATCTGAGGTACTGGTTCTTCCAGCAGTGGGCCTTGAGCAGGGACAAAGTCTTGTGAATTCCATTTTAATAACAATGCTCACCAGTCACTGAAGTTGTTAAAACATGAAAATATAGTGTTCATGGCCTTAATAGTCAGCTCACAGGATAAAGGTCCGTGTTATCTATTAATTGTTCTAGACTAGACTCTAAGCCACCCTCTGGTCGTAGCCGTTGTTGGCAGCATGAGCACATTAAAAGCTCATGGGTTAAGGACACAAGCTGATGGTGATCATACAGACACATTTGACAGTTGTCATTTCATGTAACAGTTGATAATGGTGCATGGACATGAGTGAGGTGTTTATTGAGGATCCCTCATACTGCAGGCTGTATGCTGGCTACACTGAATGTGTTTTAGGATACTGATCGTTGACCTGGCCTCCAAATTTCCGTAACATTCTGTGACACAGAGGAAAACTAGAATTAACAATCATCAAACACCATACCCTGTTCACCACCTATCCCTATTTCTACAGTATTTTAGCTCTGATGTATGTGTCAGTTTTTAAAGACGGATTACGTCTGTCCCAACCCCAGGATCCTCAGTGGTAGCAGTGAGATTAGACAGAAACTAAATTCTGTCTAATGCCATCCCTAGTGACAGCGATAGGCTGCATATAGGCTGCACCATTTCCTTTCCATGATAGGGAACTCATGCTCAGATATTTATACCACGAAAACAATATTATAATATATATATATAATATATATATATATATATATATATATATATATATATATATATATATATATATATATATATATATATGGCGTACCAGCTTCAGAAACGCGAGACAACGATTTTACTCTCCTGCAGACGCGGTTATGTTTCCATTTTTAGTAGAGCAGACGTCACGTCACACCTGTACTAAAATAAGCATGACCCCAGCTGGTACTAATCAATACGGTCTGACCTGCCTTTCCCGATTCTTTTCCTAGTTAAAGGGTGCATATATCTATGAAATATGGACACATCATTTTATAAAATAGATACGTAATTTTCAGGCTGTCTCTAACCCATTGAGGGAGTATGAGGAGATAATTTCCCCCCGCCTGTTGGTGAACGCTATGGTTTCGCACTCTCTTGCAGTTTGAATGGTTTGACAGCTAATTCCATTGCTTCCTATTGCCACCTCTGTCCTACATTCAGCAGCAGGGCCGAATGCTTTAATACTATTGATCTTCAATGTACTTACCCATGCTCATTGACGTTCTTGGGTGAATCGGGGATTCAAACGGAGTTAAGCAGATAGACAGATAAGGTAGCAAGCCGTCTACTTAGTCTAGAAGCTTAGTCAAGAATAAGTCCTCTCTCTCCAGCTAGAACCAAAAGGGAATTCATCCACGTCCAAAGCGGTAGTGAGGCCAATGGAGTTGGCTTCCCTATAAGTAAACTTCCACCCATATAGCTAAATGTAAATATATGTCATTACCAAGAAAATAAAAATAGAACTGAGTACCTAGTCCGACACCTTGACTCATACGTACAATAGAAAGGACTTTTTAACTATGGAGGGAAGTCCAAGATTCGAATTAATCTCATTTCCATAGAACTGTACAAGATGTGGGCAGGTACAAGACCAGAGGGGTGTGCGCTGTTATGCGACACTACGCTCTACACCCCACAACATACCCCACAACATACCCCACACCATAATTCAGACCCTTACTCCACACCCTGCACTGTGTTTCCCATATATGTTGAGGGTACAGACTACATTAATGACGCCGTCCCGCAAGTTTGCATTTAAATGGCTGAGAGAACCTCTCCCTGGACTTATTACATGACATCGCTACCGACGGCTTTAATCTCATATTGGTCAATCGATTCGTTTACCTAGAAACAATGTAAAATTAAAATAATTTTGCTAAGAGATTACAAATACAAGGCTCGACAATAAACTAACAAAAATAATTATATAAAATTAAAATAATCAACAGTTAAAAATATAACCTGTATTTTATTCAAAGTAAGCCCAATAGGCTTTCGTGAATGGCACGATCTAACAAATACTGGAAGGACCTCCATAGTTCTTCTATTGTTATGGCTCTGAAAGCTGATGTTACGGCATTGTGGGTGTCATTAGTATCGTCAAAGAAGAGTCCTGTTAACGGTAACATTAGTTCTAGGAATTCTTTGTGAATAAATCCCTTACTGTCGTAGAAGCAAACCAACATTGACTTCAATATCGACTTTTGAAGATTGAATTTTGTTTTTCCTTTTGGTGATGAAGATGACTTCCAACTGAACACTTTGGCGTTTAGTTGTGGGATCATAGCAGAAAATTCATGTTTCATCCTCTGCAACAATCGAATTAAAGAAATGTTTATTTCTTCGACATGTTTTGTTAATGTCTTTTGTTTTTAGTCATCAGACAACGAATATGGTACAAACCGGCAAAAAACTTGCTTCTTGCCTAATTCTACCACTAAAAGTTTAACGAATTGTCTCTCTTTTAACATAAAAATCATTTGCTATCATCCAAACAGTCAAACAAGGATCTACTTGTATCCGTTCTATAACTTTTGCAATGAGTTACTCATTACGAATAGAAATTTTGCATTTATGTCTAGATGCATTAGTAATCATTTCCTCATCACCTTTCAATCGTGAATATCCCCTGAAAATCTGTAACAATTATCCCAACAAACTTGTCGCATCAATTGAACTGTTGCAATGGGCGCTTTTTCTTAGTTTTAAACATAATCTAATAGTATCTTTTTGCTCAATTCTGATTACGTAACAATGTACCTCTGACTAGGTAAACAAAATGGCGGCTTGCTTGTTGTCTGCTTATCGGGCGGCGATGAGACGTTGCCAGCTCATAGACGAAGGTTGTCTCTTTGAATTGCATTACATTGCTTCATAGATGACATTTATGTCTTAGCCATCATAAAATTAGTCTTAATACTCAATTGTCGAATCTTATATATGAAGACAACTTCAGAGAAAAGTGACGAAAATCAATCAATAGAAAACAGCTTGTAAACTTATGTTCCACATCTAACTCTAATTATAACAGTTACGGTAACTGTCATTATTGTTTCACAACACAGGTTAAACAGAGAATGTGATCACATATGTTGCTGTATTTCATACTCCCCCGAGTTCCACAATGTGCACATGTTGTTTCTGGAAAGAAATGCGTACAGCAAGATCGTTTCCTGGCTTCACCAGTTAGAATCTACCCCTTGTTCGTTTCGCTCAAGTCACCGGGCGATACTTGTAAGCATTTCAATAGAAGCTATAATGTGCCGTCTGCAAGAGAGACTTCTGGAGGTCGCAATGGACCTGAATAATTCACAACCCATTAGCAGCGTCTGCGCTGTGCGGATCTGTCAACCGTGAAGATGGCTCTAAGGATAAGCCTCTGACCTGTGAATCTCATGTCTACGTGATTGTGTAGATGATCTCCGCACATTTTAAAATGAACACACTAAAAATACACTCAGCCCAATATTAATAAAGCTTTCCCCAGTTAATTAAAACAAACAAATATCGCACTTGCCGCTAGAGGCTTCTTTTCTGTAATTATGTAAAACGATAATACGCCGATAACGCCATCTCATCGCATAGTTCTATATCACATGGCTTTGGTGAGCAAGTCTACCAAATCCTTCTGTCCCAATTACTTGATTAACTGTTTTGGTACAGACATCTATGCCTGTAAAATTGCATTCCTCTTAACATATAGAATTAAAGATGCTAAGCGAGCGGAATAAAACAGTAATAAATAGAGAAGTTGAGAGTATAAAGTTATCAGAAAGGATTACAATTGGGTAATTCAACAGCTGTGTGCAGCAAAACAAATTAGGAAGACTAATAAATAAACAGAACAACTAATAGACATACGGGCTGTGGTTAGTGCCGGGGCGTTAAAACATGCACTTTCTAGGTTCTTGTCCTGTCTTGCTGCCTCTCTAAATTGTCTGGTACCTAAGTAAGACTGTTTCCCCTTTCACACGATGTGCCTAAAAAGTCTGTATTGTCTACATATGTACGAGCTTTATTTTTATTTTTTTTTTAATGTTTTTTTTCTTTTTCAAATCTGTTCTTAATGTTTTCATTATTGTTTCATTCCTTTATAGAACAATTTGTGTGTGGACTTATAACAAAAATAAGAAACCTTCTTCTTCTGCTCTCTTCTCCTGGAATGCTTCGCGGCGTCAGGGCAATAAGAGATCTCTGGAACGGACCCTTCTGCTCACTCGTATAAAGTACTTTTCAGTGTCTGATTTCCTGTGTGGTCTATTTTCTGCGTGGTCGACCTCTAGGACTGTTACCACTGTACCTGTAAAACATTGCTCTCTGTGGTGCCCTGTTTGCTGCCAATCTTGTTTCATGCCCAAACTGTTTGGTTAATGTCCACCTAAAAAGTTTAGTATTGGTTCTGTGGCGAATCTCCTCCTGATAGTATCGTTCCTAAGTCGATCTTTCCTTGTTACACCTAGCATGCATGGTTCGTGAACATTTAATTTATATCGTGACTTTTTTCCTCCCGTCTTCTGAAGACAGTGTGCATGTTTGAATCCATGTTTGACAATGACAGCGTAGCGTTGGTAAGAATATTGTGTTAAACGGTGTTCTTTTAGTTTTCATATTCACATGATTGCATTAAAAAAAAATTAATGCCATTTGTCCTAAGACTTAGTTTGCTTTATTGCAATTTTGCTAGATTTTTTAATTATTTCTTTCCTCTTCTGAAAAAAAAAAAAAAACACACCTGCATATAAGAAACCTTATAGTGGAAAAAAAATTGCAAATGTACTTTTTTTCATGTGCATTGTGTTTAAGGAGATGATTGACACTGAGACAATAATGGTTTTTGTATGCCAGGTGTGGGTCAGACAGGAGAATCTCTGGTCATACACAACATATCCCGCATGTGTGGCGACACCTACGAATGCGTGGCCAGTAATGGCGTGGAGCCAGCGGCCAGTCAAACATTTAAAGTGACCGTCTTCTGTAAGTAATTTTTTTTTTTTAAATTTTTTTTATTTGGCGTTTGTTTCTTTTTATTGGTGAGTACATGTATGAACACTACCAAATATCGATGCATGCACACGGACACACATATATGCATGTACAATGCACATACGCTAACTCAAACATATGTTCAAATCGATGTTGAAAATTACATGGATGTCTTACATTAGCAACTGCAGAGTCTTTGTTGCCCTTAACCGGTGTATGTGTGATCAGAGTGCAGTAATACAAGAATAAAGAACATAGAGGTCTCCAAGTCGATGTTGTTGAGCTGACTGCCGGGCAATGTGAAGGTGTCTACAGACTACGGTCTAGTGTCTACAGACTACGGTCTAGTGTCTACAGACTACGGTTAGTGTGTCTACAGACTACGGTCTAGTGTCTACAGACTATCTAGGTCTAGTGTCTAGTGTCTACCTGACTACAGTCTAGTCTAGTGTCTACAGACTACGGTCTAGTGTCTACAGACTACGGTGTAGTGTCTACTGACTTTGGTCTAATGTCTACAGACTACGGTCTAGTGTCTACAGACTACTCTTACTGGACTAGTGTCTAACTGACTACAGTCTAGTGTCTACAGACTACGGTCTAGTGTCTACAGACTACGGTTTAGTGTCTGCTGACTAAGGTCTAGTGTCTACAGACTACGGTCTAGTGTCTACAGACTATGGACTACGGTCTAGTGTCTACAGACTACGGTCTAGTGTCTACAGACTACGGTCTAGTGTCTACAGACTACGGTCTAGTGTCTACAGACTACGGTCTAGTGTCTACAGACTACGGTCTAATTTCTACAGACTATGGTTTAGTGTCTGCTGACTAAGGTCTAGTGTCTACAGACTACGGTCTAGTGTCTACAGACTATGGTCTAGTGTCTACAGACTACGGTCTAGTGTTTACAGACTATGGTTTAGTGTCTGCTGACTAAGGTCTACTGTCTACAGACTACGGTCTAGTGTCTACACACTACGGTCTAGTGTCTACAGACTACGGTCTAGTTTCTACAGACTGCGGTTTAGTGTCTGCTGACTAAGGTTTAGTGTCTACAGACTACGGTCTAGTGTCTACTGAACACGGTCTAGTGTCTACAGACTACGGTCTAGTGTCTACAGACTATGGTCTAGTGTCTACAGACTACGGTCTAGTGTCTGCTGACTACGGTACTAGACTACGGTCTAGTGTCTACTGAACTACGGTCTAGACTAAGGTCTAGTGTCTACAGACTACGGTCTAGTGTCTACAGACTACTGTCTAGTGTCTCTACTAGTGTCTACTGACTAAGGTCTAGTGTCTACAGACTACTGTCTAGTGTCTACAGACTACGGTTTAGTGTCTGCTGACTACGGTCTAGTGTCTACACGGACTACGGTCTAGTGTCTACAGACTACGGTCTAGTGTCTACAGACTACGGTCTAGTGGACTATTTCTAGTGTCTACAGACTAAGGTCTAGTGTCTACGGTCTAGTGTCTACAGACTACGTGTATAGACTAGTGTCTAAAGACTACGGTCTAGTGTCTACAGACTACGGTCTAGTGTCTACAGACTACGGTCTAGTGTCTACAGACTACGGTTTAGTGTCTGCTGACTAAGGTCTAGTGTTCTACAGACTACGGTCTAGTGTCTACAGACTATGGTCTAGTGTCTACAGACTAAGGTCTAGTGTCTACAGACTACGGTCTAGTGTCTACAGACTACTGGTCTAGTGTCTACAGACTACGGTGTAGTGTCTACAGACTTTGGTCTAATGTCCACAGACTACGGTCTAGTGTCTACAAAGACTACGGTTTAGTGTCTGCTGACTAAGGTCTTGTAAAGACTACGGTCTAGTGACTACAGGTCTAGTGTCTACAGACTACGGTCTAGTGTCTACAGACTACGGTCTAGGTCTACTAGTGTCTAAGGTCTAGTACCTACAGACTACGGTCTAGTGTCTACAGACTATGGTCTAGTGTCTACAGACTAAGGTCTAGTATCTACAGACTACTGTCTAGTTTCTACAGACTATGGTCTAGTGTCTACAGACTACTGTGTAGTGTCTACTGACTTTGGTCTAATGTCCACAGACTACGGTCTAGTGTCTACAAACTACGGTTTAGTGTCTGCTGACTAAGGACTTGTATCTACAGACCACGGTCTAGTGTCTACAGACTACGGTCTAGTGTCTACAGACTACGGTTTAGTGTCTGCTGACTAAGGTCTAGTATCTACATACGACGGTCTAGTTTCTACAGACTATAGTCTAGTGTCTACTGACTATGGTCTAATGTCCTCAGACAACGGTCTAGTGACTACAGACTACGGTTTAGTGTCTATAGACTACGGTTTAGTGTCTGCCGACTGCGGTCTAGTGTCTGCTGACTACGGTCTAGTGTCTACAAACTACGGTCTAGTGTCTACAGACTATGGTCTAGTGTCTAAAGACTACGGTCTAGTGTCTGCTGACTACGGTCTAGTGTTTACAGACTACAGTCTAGTGTCTACACACTACGGTCTAGTGTCTACAGACTACGGTCTAGTTTCTACAGACTGCGGTTTAGTGTCTGCTGACTAAGGTTTGGGGTCTACAGACTACGGTCTAGTGTCTACAGACTACGGTCTAGTGTCTACAGACTACGATCTAGTGTCTACAGACTATGGTCTTGTGTCTACAGACTACGGTCTAGTGTCTGCTGACTACGGTATATTGTCTGCTGACTAAGGTCTAGTACCTACAGACAACTGTCTAGTGTCTACAGACTAGGTTTTAGTGTCTGCTGACTAAGGTCTAGTATCTACAGACTACGGTCTAGTTTCTACAGACTATGGTCTAGTGTCTACAGACTACTGTCTAGTGTCTACTGGCTTTGGTCTAATGTCTACAGATTACGGTCTAGTGTCTACAGACTACGGTTTAGATTCTGCTGACTAAGGTCTAGTATCTACAGACCACGGTCTAGTGTCTACAGACTACGGTCTAGTGTCTACAGACTACGGTTTAGTGTCTGCAGATTAAGGTCTAGTAGCTACAGACGACGGTCTAGTTTCTACAGACTATGGTCTAGTGTCTACAGACTACTGTCTAGTGTCTACTGACTATGGTCTAATGTCCTCAGACAACGGTCTAGTGTCTACAGACTACGGTTTAGTGTCTATAGACTACGGTTTAGTGTCTGCAGACTACGGTCTAGTGTCTAAAGACTACGGTCTAGTGTCTAAAGACTACGGTGTAGTGTCTACAGACTACGGTTTAGTGTCTATAGACTACTGTTTAGTGTCTGCAGACTACGGTCTAGTGTCTACAGACTACAGTCTAGTGTCTACAGACTACGGTTTCGTGTCTGCTGATTAAGGTCTAGTGTTTACAGACTACGGTCTAGTGTCTACAGACTATGGCCTAGTGTCTACAGACTACGGTCTAGTGTCTACAGACTACGGTCTAGTATCTACAGACTACTGTCTAGTGTCTACAGACTACGGTCTAGTGTCTACAGACTACTGTCTAATTTCTACAGACTACGGTTTAGTGTCTGCTGACTAAGGTCTAGTGTCTACAGACTACGGTCTAGTGTCTACAGACTATGGTCTAGTGTCTACAGACTACGGTCTAGTGTTTACAGACTATGGTTTAGTGTCTGCTGACTAAGGTCTAGTGTCTGCTGACTACGGTATAGTGTCTGCTGACTAAGGTCTAGTACCTACAGACAACGGTCTAGTGTCTACAGACTAGGGTTTAGTGTCTGCTGACTAAGGTCTAGTATCTACAGACTACGGTCTAGTTTCTACAGACTATGGTCTAGTGTCTACAGACTACTGTCTAGTGTCTACTGACTTTGGTCTAATGTCTACAGACTACAGTCTAGTGTCTACTGACTACGGTTTAGTTTCTGCTGACTAAGGTCTAGTATCTACAGACCACGGTCTAGTGTCTACAGACTACGGTTTAGTGTCTATAGACTACGGTTTAGTGTCTAAAGACTACGGTCTAGTGTCTACAGACTACGGTCTAGTGTCTACAGACTACGGTCTAGTGTCTACAGACTACGGTTTCGTGTCTGCTGATTAAGGTCTAGTGTTTACAGACTACGGTCTAGTGTCTACATACTATGGTCTAGTGTCTACAGACTAAGGTCTAGTGTCTACAGACTACGGTCTAGTATCTACAGACTACTGTCTAGTGTCTACAGACTACGGTTTAGTGTCTGCTGACTAAGGTCTAGTATCTACAGACAACGGTCTAGTGTCTACAGACTAGGGTTTAGTGCCTGCTGACTAAGGTCTAGTATCTACAGACTACGGTCTAGTTTCTACAGACTATGGTCTAGTGTCTACAGACTACTGTCTAGTGTCTACTGACTTTGGTCTAATGTCTAAAGACTACGGTCTAGTGTCTACAAACTACGGTTTAGTGTCTGCTGACTAAGGTCTTGTATCTACAGACTACGGTCTAGTGTCTACAGACTACGGTCTAGTGTCTACAGACTACGGTTTAGTGTCTGCTGACTAAGGTCTAGTATCTACAGACTATGGTCTAGTTTCTACAGACTAAGGTCTAGTGTCTACTGACTATGGTCTAATGTCCTCAGACAACGGTCTAGTGTCTACAGACTACGGTCTAGTGTCTACAGACTACGGTCTAGTGTCTACAGACTACGGTTTCGTGTATGCTGATTAAGGTCTAGTGTTAACTGACTACGGTCTAGTGTCTACAGACTATGGTCTAGTGTCTACAGACTACGATCTAGTGTCTACAGACTACGGTCTAGTATCTACTGACTACTGTCTAGTGTCTACAGACTACGGTCAAATGTCTACAGACTACGTTTTAGTGCTGCTGACTAAGGTCTAGTGTCTACAGACTACGGTCTAGTGTCTACAGACTACGGTCTAGTGTCTACAGACTACGGTCTAGTGTCTACAGACTACGGTCTAGTGTTTACAGACTATGGTTTAGTGTCTGCTGACTAAGGTCTACCGTCTACAGACTACAGTCTAGTGTCCA